AGAGCAGAAATATAAACAGGTTCAAATATAAGCAATGGCTTGTTAGAGGGTGTAGCTAAATTTAAGGGCTTCAAAACAAAACATGTCACTCATGATGGTATAGCTCTGCTCGTTTTATGATTCAGAAATACTTTCCATGAAAAAGGCTGCATACTTGGAAGATTTTATTGCATACTTGGAGGATTTTATATGTGCAAAGTGCCGGTCAAGTATTTACAATAGGTCATGTGACCTGTTTTGCAGAAAAATGTTATTTTTGACTACTATAATCTATTGCTGGGTGAGTTCCACATCATCAAACACCTTCTGTTAAATTCATCATCTTGGCTTTGACACTGAGGTTATATCATGCTCCTTTGCATTTTTCCTTTGCTGTACCATGCAAGCACATTAGTTTTAATCTCTGGTCAGTAAAGACTTAGGTCTACCCTTCCACCCCTTTTTCCCAGGAGTCAGCAGCCACCTCAAGATCACCCCATTCAGAGATGCCCTCGGTGGCTGTGCAAGCCAGCTGGCAACTAGTCTGCTGAAGTGCCAGAACTAATGTTCTTGTTCTAAGAAAGTACTACCTTTCCACTTCTCTAGTTTTTCTACCAGTGGTGATCTTGTATGATGTAGATTTCAGTATCTCTGCATTGAAGACTTCCTTTTTTATTCACAAGTGTCTGCACAGACTTGATTTTCCACCCTTTTTCCTCATTGTCCAAGCAAACGTATTTCATTCTACCAACCATTTGCTGATATTGTTTGAAGTCCTACTTATTCTCTAGGGCAAAAAAAACAAGCAGTGTTCATCAGACACTCAAATTAGCTGGTATTTTAATTCACCAGTTGGGAGATCTCTGGTTTTAGATTCTTTTATTGCACAAATACTGGAAACACTCCTATCTGAAAATATAGTGCAATATGTGCTCCAAGTTTGTTGTTTTAACAAACATCCCTGCCAGTTAACATTTTGACTACGATAACCATGGTAACAAATGCAAAAGGATAACCAGCACAAACAGTTCAAAGTTGTTTCAACTATCCCTGCCCTGACCTGCTTCTCATAAGTCCATCAACAAATCCTTTTAAGATAATAGTAGCCATTTAAATTATCTTTTTATAAGTCATTAGTAAATCAGTGCTTTCTGGTATTTAGAAGAGAGATGAGACCTCCTTGTAGCACTGAGGTAGCTGTTTTTCCATTTGGGAAGCTTCCCACCCACTTGGATGTTGTGAATGCTGAAGAATAGGGGGAGGAAATGCTCTCTGCATGGATTCTGTTATACCAAAATTAAAAAAAGTTGTTTTGGCACTGAGCACAGGAATACAAAGCCTGTCTTGTATTTTGTCCTGCATTAATTAAATGTAAGGCTTTAAAAAAAAAAAAGTATGTGCACATTTCCACTTGATCTTTCACAAAGATGGTTCTTATAGGAGCTTAGGGTTTGACCTAATGTAGTTTCACATAAGACACATGGCTGTCTTAACTCCCTGTATACACTGGTACCTGAAGGGGTGTCTGTGGATCTCTGTTAAACTCTGATAACAGAGAAATGTAGCAGTTGGCAACAGCCTGGGCCAACCTGTGGCTTTTGAGATGTATGTGACTCAGTAGCAAGTCAAATACAGTTCTCACACCAGGGATGTATTGCAGATGTTAATTGCTCCAGATTTTTAGCTCTAAAAGGAAATTAGAAACCATTAGGGATTGCTGAGAGAGGTTTTACCTTGTGGATTGCAGCTGTGTGCTCAGCCCCATTCCGTCACACAGTGAGGGAGTGGAATCCCCTTGAGTGCTATCAGTGTGTTATGGCCAGTGCAGCAATCCCACAGATTGCATTCCCTCTGCTCTCTGAGGTAGGTAGGTCTTGGCAAGCTAGTCGGACGCGTTAGCCAAACTGCGTGCTCCCCAGAGTTCAGCTGTCTGGGCTGTGCAAACCTGACTGGCCCATCAGATTTATGCAATTAAATCACAGCAGGTTCTGTGGCTGGTGGCAGAGGCACCCCCTGTGCAGTCAGAGTGAGACTGATCATGTACCAGACATATGCTGTTCATAAGTGTTTGCACACCATTCTAGTTTACAGTAATTTGAATGATACTTTGACTATCATTTATTTTCATCTGAAGTGCCCAAGATCCCAGAAAGGCTTAAGTGAACATCATGAAATATGACTCTGGATATTGACTGGGAAGAGAAAAGCAAAGATCAAGATATTTACAAAATACCTGACTGGTATTTTTACCTAGTCAGAAGCTGCTAAACAAGAAGTTTCCAGAAGTCTCCAAAACATTAAGTCAACTTAACATGGCTGAGCACCCTTACTTTGATATTTATCCCCATTTCAAAATACTTCAATCATTTAGTTACCTGAAAAGTAACCCAGCTATGAAACCCTGCCATACTATGTAACTGCTTTTTGCTGGAAATTACACCACAAAATTAGTCCCTTGCGGGGGCAGGGGAAAGAAAAAAAAAGAAAGAAACCTCCTTTAACTAAAGGCTGGAATGACTCGAAGCCAGAGAGATGATGCTTAAGCAAGTATGCCTAAGTACAGTACACATCACAGTTCATTATGGTATTAGTCATACTTGGAAAACATGTTTTTTAAACTAGCATTTAATACGTATGTCCACTACACAACTTCAACATTTTCTCAAACACGAATTTCCCTATTCTGTTTGTGGCATCATGTTTTCCACACTCTCTGACATTAAAGTTATTCAAAAAGCACTCTGCCAACTCCGCACCGCCCAAATACAAGCTAGGTTTGTGAGTCAGCTCCACACACTGCAATACTAGCAAGCAAGACAAGTCTGTCACAAGAAAACTGACAGTTAAAACCACCTAAAATAATTTTTCTATATACAAGTGGAAGCAATATGTACTGTCCTAGATGGATTTAGCTGAGTATATTTCAACACTGAACTGAGTTCAGGACTGCAGGGTATCATGATTTTTGAATACCTTTTTTCTCTGCCATATTCAAACATGACAATTCAACATGACAATCATAGAACACATCTTATAAATAACATGGAAATATTATTAAAATGTGTCACTGGTGCTGTAATAGCTTACGTGAATGCAGATGGCATTCATGCTACACTCCATCTAAACATCATGAATAAGAATGTTCTTGCTCCCAAAGTGATACATCCAATGTATTTCAGCTTTTAGGATACATTATCAAGACCTTATGCTATTCTTGATTTCTGTTGATATACCTTGGCACTGTTTCAGTGCAAGATTTCAACTTGCAAATGCCTTAAATTGCAAACTTTTTGCTAATACTTTGCCCTTACCATTAATGTCACTTTCAGAAGTAGATTTGTAGTATGACTAAGAGAACAGCGTTGTGGGGGGTTTTTTCATTCTTATTCTGCAGTATATACTAAAAAATCCTGCTCTGAACAGCTGTGCTTAGCAGCTTACACTAGAAAGATCAGTGAAAAGCAAACGTAAAAGAGAAAGGAGCAACGACTCTTTAGACTTTTAAAAGCACAACAGTAGTTTCAGAAGTCGTTTTTAAACATGATATTCATTTTGCTTCCTGACATGTTTTAGATAGTTACAGTCATGCCACTAACTTTCATAGACTACACAAACCCTCTGTAAGTTCATCTATTTAGAAAAAATGCAAACTTGCTTCCTTTTGCAAGGGAAGTCTTCAAATTACTAAACTAGCACAGAAGATTTTAAAGGTTTGTAAAAGCTCCTATTGTTTGTTATTGGGAGAAATAGAAATGCTGCTGCTTTTTTCTTTGTTGTACAATTGAACCACAATTTTCACAATCTAATTTTTCATACTTAACTGCTAAGAGCACAGTTAAAGATATGTAATTACTCTGTCAGCTCTTTATTTATAAAAAAATATATATAATATTTTTTTATACAAACTAGTTTTACATTAATTGAACTGTTCTGGACCAAGTAAGCTATGTAATAAAATAGAAACTGCACTTCACAGGTATCATAAAGCAGAGGACTGACAGAGCATTCAGTTATTAAACATTACACCACCTATAAATGTTTTATAGTATCATAGGTATATGATACTACTCCCCCATGTACTGGGGGAGTCTTTCTGTGATCTGGACCATATAAACCAGACATTTTAAAGTAGTTTCTACATTAGATGATCCTTTCATATTTCAGTTGGCAACACTTTTTATTATAATAGTACTGGCTCATCAAGATTTTTCCACAGGTGACAGTTTCTCTGGTATGAACTTACAGAAGAATCCTCAAGCAAGTCAAGTTATGCAGTTTGGTAAGGTGCAAGCAGCCCCAGCACTATCCTGCTGCCATCTAACAATGCTGCACTTGAGCCCAGCAGAGAATCCAGACCAGTCCTAGCACAGGCTTCACATGAATGGCAATGAGTATTACTTGGGTTGGAGAAGGGATGCGCTGTCTAACACATTTCATAAGAATAAGGGGACTTATTGTAGCAAAAACTAAAACATGCCACACAAGCCCAAATTCCATATAATGAACCAGTAGGGATTAGTTTTCAACCCAGAGGTTCCTGCAGACACCTAACATGGGGTGACTTAAACAGCTCCTACAGGAATTTGCATTACATTTTTTTTTCCTTTGTGGCTGGCCTACATGCTCTCTTTTTAACATCTTACACACACACACACAAAAAAACACCTAAATTTTTTCAGAGTCCTTTTCTCTTTTAGCTCTGCAAGTGTGTTCCGCATTATTTTTTCTTCAGGTAGGGATTAATTTTCAAGGACATATTTATTTTCCTTTTGAAGCCAAAAAGCAGAGGGGAAGCATTAGGGGGAAATAGGAGCCATGCCCCACAATACTTCTCAGAAGTCTCTGAAACCTTAAAATTACAGGAAAGAGACAAAAGAACAGGGTTCTTCCTTCCTGGTATTTCCTTTCTACTTCCCAAAAGCAGCGGTTTTGTCTTCAGCCTGTAAAAGTAAGCAACAGAGAAAGAAAAATGTAACCAAAACATAGACTAAACTGTTCAATTATTTTCCTTCCAGGCGCTTTTCTTATTCCCTATATCCTCTTCCTAATAATTGCTGGAATGCCCCTGTTCTATATGGAATTAGCACTAGGGCAGTATAACCGAGAAGGGGCTGCCACTGTATGGAAAATCTGTCCAGTTTTCAAAGGTAAGTGTCCCTCTGCTCATTTGAATAGCATCATGTGGGTGCCATACTTGTGATCACAAAGTAAAGGTCTTCCATGTTTCCATGGACAGCATGATATTTGCTGACCTTTCCATAACCCTTGAAGTTATAAGCCTTTATGTCATCACAGGTGGAGCACAAAATGATCTTCAGGGTTATTGCTGAGAGGTGCATCAGAGAGCAATAAGGATGGGCAGTTCAGGTCTGTCCTCCCTCTCCTCTGTGTACTGGGAAGTGAGAGGAACTGGGTATCTTTAGGAGAGAGGATTGCAATGCAAACATTTAGAAATACCAAATCACATCGAGGTCAGTTCAGCCCTTTCTCCGCCACTGACTAACATACCCAAGGACTCACTTCAATTTATTGTGAGGAGCCTTCCCTGCACAAGTATGGGATAGGCTTCCCAGTAGTTAGAACACTAATGGAGTTGTAAAGACTTGTTCAGCCACTAGACTTTTAACATCACACAAAGTATCTGTGGCTCTGTACCTCAGCTTTCCTGCCTATGAAATGGGAGCAGTGATTCTGATAGACTTTGTAAAGTGGTTTTCAAATCTAGTAATGAAAAGCAAGTATTCAAACCTGAACATTACTATTACTATTCAGTGTTTTCCACTAGGGTTAACTCTCAAACATCACTGAATAAAAGGCTGTGGAGTGCTGTCTTATGCACTGAGTTGCAGCCATTCTGCAAGGAAGAAACAGATGAGGTTGGATGTTTGGATACTGATCAGAGTGTTTCTTAAAGACCCTCAAAAAATTTTGTAAGCATTGCTTACCAGCAAAAATTGTGAGTTCCCCTACTTCTACAGCAGATTATATCTAAAATCTTCTGTAAAAGCCTTTTCAATACAGAGCTATCTGAAAGGAAGCTGCTCAAGGTTGGCTGATCTTAGAAGTTTAAAATTCAGATTATGTTCATCCCATGACATACAAAAGCTGAAGAGCTTCACAACAGCAATCCAAACTTGGCAAATCCAATGCTTGGATATAGGTTGCACTGAGTAAATGTTAGTTGTCCTTCTCAGAATACAGCTTTCTTCTTCAATGAGGTTAGTGCTGCAGAATAGGAAAACTGCAGGTTGTTTTCTTACCAAAACCAAAACTGAGGAAAATCAGAGATGTAATAAAAGACAAAGAAGCAAGCCCCAAAATCTGGAGGTCAATTCACATAGATTTACCTAGCCCTTCTAATAAACCTAGCACTCAGGAATCTGAAGACCCTTGCTCAATCAAAATTTCTGCTGGCATCAGTTAACACTTTTGGGAGGAACATAGATTTTGAAAGCCTAAATGCAAAATTTAGACCATGAGGATCTCAAAGTTTTTGACCCACTCTGCTCAGAGGTACTCCATTGACTTCAGGATTGAAAAAATAATGAGAAAGGAAATACAGCTTATTTCATTTATAGTCTTACTGACATTCCATCTGTTCCTAAGTTGTTACTAGAATATCATAATTTCTTCGATTCTCAAAAAGTAATTAGTATGGAGCTGCATTTGCATCTCAGTACTAGTGTAAACTCAGTACTTTGAAAGTTTTGACTAAATCTTCTGATAACATGTAAACAGATTTAATTGCTCAACTCATAATGCTTCTGAATTGTTTCTGGGATAATTCAAATCTCTTGCTCAAATGAAAAGTATACAGTTTACGCATATTTATAACAGCTTCTCTAAATGAGCAGCACTATAGTACTAATTTTAGCTATGATTATTATTGCAGTGAACTCTGAGGACTGTGCTGCAAATGAGATGCTCTCATACTGCTTGCTATTAAAAATATACCCTGTAACCTTTACAACACAGTCTGTTTTCATCTCTTCATTTTTCAAGGTCTATTTTAGAGTGTGGGTGGTGCAGCATTACTTTTATGAGAAGTTAAACCTAGAAACATGAAGGCAAATTAATTTCTGAACATTCTTATGATTTCAAGAGTGACATTTAAGTTACATTTGATCCATTTTTTTTACATCTTTTAAATATCCAACATTGTCCTCCTGAATTGGAGGAATTTCAGGAACACTTTTTTTAAACAGAATAATCCCATTTCAGTGCAAAAGAAATTATTCATACTTAGTATTTTTAAATTCGCATTAATATTTAAGAATTATCTTCTTGGGTGATTCCCCATCCCCCTGTTCTATTGATCACAAGGTATCACTAAGCATTTGAGTGTTGGTGTACTGGACTCAATTAAGCACCAATTATCATCTTTACTTTCACAATCTTTTCCCTAATGTTAGGGATGAAAAAAACTGGCCTGTGTATTAAAAGCCTCCTGAAGAACAAAGAGAAACTTTAGTATATGCAGCTGTCTTTGAAATGCCAGCTTCTTCAGGGTCAGCATCTGTTCCTTATGCAAATTATAAACCAAGGAGTAATAATCACTGTGTGCTACTTCTTTGCTTCGTCAAGAAATATGAAAGCCTAATAATCTCCAACTGCTAGACCTCCAATGCAGTATCTCCAAAAAAGTTAAACTGAAAAAAATTAAAAGGACAGCACTTAGGTGCTGTGACAGTAAGTGATGGTAGCCCTAAAACAGCTGTAGTCCCTACCTGTAACATGTCATACACACAACTTTGGAGTAGGACAATCCTGCATGCAGAGTAAAGGAAGACTGAAGTAAGCCAAGGTAAAGCCAGCTTCTGGAACAATCCTGGCATAAAACTTTTGTTCTTCTCTGACATTAATACCGAAGCTTCCTGCCAAACCATTGGAAAATGTTCAATTTCATGAGGATAACATGCACTCTCTGGGGTTCACTAGTTAAAGGCATCCTCAAAGCACGCTTCACAGTAGGCAAAAATACAAAACAAATGTTCAAAGTCAAAAGAGAATGCTTACAGCAGGGATTCTGTAAATCCTGGGGAGACTGTGAAATGAAGGTCCATACACAGCTTAGCCCCAAGCTTGATATTCACCAGGATTTACTGAGAACCACTTGGAGTTCCTCAGTGGAACAGCACAGACTGTTTGATGCATGTTCTGGACTTAGTTATAAGCTGATGGAAACCAGTCTGGAGAGTAACAATGGGAAAGAAACAGGAGAGGGATCAGTGTCTGTTCCTAACTAGCTCAGGATGGGAACGTGAGGCACAGGGAAATTTCACTTAAGTCTCGAGCTTTACTTTTCCAAGAAAAGTTGCCAAGGACTCTGACATTATGAAGTGAGTTTCACTCCTAACATGGGCTTGCAGTCTTCTGCACTGGAAATAAATCAGCAATCAAGTTGTATAAGAGCAATTTTTGACATTACACTGCTTAATTTATTTTTCTGGCATACAACTGGATTTGCTAAAAGCCAGTCATTTTTCAAAATCATTAATGTAATTTTTTTGTTTTAAAGTTAGTGACACTGTGTACACATGTGTGTATGTAAACTTCAAAAATTCCTTTTGTTGGTCTGAAGATCTAAAATTAATGTGTAACCATGTATGGCCAAGTTTAACTACAGTGTTTGCATATACTATTGCATGCAAAAAGCAATGTATAATCTAGTTTTCCTCTGTCTTTAGGTGTAGGCTATGCAGTGATACTCATTGCTCTTTACGTGGGTTTCTACTACAATGTTATCATCGCTTGGTCTCTGTATTATCTGTTTTCATCATTCACCTTTGAGCTCCCATGGACAAACTGCGACAACAGCTGGAATAGCCCAAACTGTACAGATCCCAAACTCTTCAATGCATCAGTGCTTGGCAATGGTACCAAATACTCAAAGTACAAGCTCACTCCTGCAGCAGAATTTTATGAGTAAGTGTTGACTTGATTTCCCTGTTTATTCAAAATTCTATGTCTATGCATGTTTCCTCTGGAAGGTAAATTACCTCAGTATCCAGCCTCTAAAATAAGCACTAGAAGACTAAGGTTAAAATGCAGTTGTAACGCTGATCTGTACTCCTGTGTGACTAAGACTCTTGCCTCTGAAAGCTTTGGTTTCTCCTGTACAAATGCAACACCAACACAAATGTTCCCTGATGTAACACTTTTCCTTGAACCAGTTTTGCCAGGGCAAGGAACCACAGCAATATTCTGGCAAAGAAGATGGCATGCCAAAACTGAGCTGACCTTAAGGCTTTAAAATATTAATTTGTTCAATAGACTTGGTCTGTTTCTCTACATGCAATAGCATCTCAGAGCAGCCCTCTGTTTGCTCAGCTGCTTCTTAAGTGCAATGAAATGAGATGAAGCACTGAGCAGGGAGGAGAGCACCACAGCTACAAGTCCATCTTTCTACAATTCCTAAGCAAAAAAGCATTCAGCAATATGGGTCAAAACAGATAGAGGCACACTCAAATCGACACTGGAAATCAACCCCAAAAAGCTATATAAAATAACAACTGAATATATCAATCTGTGTATAAATAACTGCACTATGGACCTTCAGGGGAAAATGGAATTTATTTAAGATTAAGAATGAAGGGTGGATATCAGGGTAATTGTACCAACTGCGGTTGGGAGCAGAGGGATATCAGGGCACACACCTGCTGAGCAGTAAGTCCAATCCTATAGAAAGAAATGGAATCTTGACATAAATAACTGTGTGTTACACCCTGCCTGGTTACAGTAGTGATCTTGAGGGCTGTGTTTATAGCTCTGAAACATTTGTGGTTGCTATTGCTCCTCTGAAGACAGCACAGTGCAAGATCAGTAGTGATACACAAACTGTTGGCAAGGGTTTGGGTAAACTAAACGCAGTGCTTTGAAAACAATAAGGAGGGTGGAGTTCAAAGGAACTCCCTACAATGACAAATAATGACAGCTAGGAAATCTACTGCCTTTACAAAGACAAAGTGATGTGTTTGTAACTCAAATGCAAAAAAACATAATTTATAGCAAAGGCTCTATACCCATGTAGACAGTTAAAGAACCTGACATCAAAGTGAAATATAAGAAATCATACATTTCAGCATCTTCAGACAAAGAACTGCATTATTACAGAACTTGAATGTGAACAGCATTTAAAAAATATTTTCTTTATAATCTTCTTGTGCTTAAATCTTTATATAGTAAAATACAATCCTTATATTCCTGCTTTGCTCCTTTATGATTTAAAGTGGTTCTATTCATTTTTGTTTCTCACGTAATACTTGGAGTATGAATTTTAATTTGTATTGAGTGATGTAGTGGTAGAATTTATTTAAAATGTTTTTATTTATTTCCAGTGATCTAAGGAACAGCTAAATTTGTGATTCTGTCAGTACATTGAAACATTAGGGTTACCTTACCATGAAATAGATTCAAGGTGCAGTTTTTAGAAGGTAAGAATAAAAAAGGGAATTTTACATTTCATTAGGGTTTAATCCCTTGATTAGAGCAGTAACTAAGTCCCTAGGCCCTATACTTATTAGCAACTAGATTATATTGCAAAAATGAGAAGAATAACCACTTGAGTAAAACAGTCTATAACATCTGCTTCCTCAGCTGTAAAAACAAGGAATCACAAGGGGTATTATGTTCACTTATCCACTGTTCGGATTAGCTCACCAAGTCCAGCTGTACAGCCCAGGTGTGGACCCAAACTGTGCAAAGTTTTAGTGTATCCAGATCCAACCTAATAACAACAGCCCAATGAGGAACACAGTGATTCTTCTCTTATATCAAATAACCAAACTCATTCTCATGGTCCTTTTACAACAGGGAGAGCTGAACCTTCTGATTGGAAAGTTTCATATTATACACAACAGGGTCAGGAAAGAGAAGTGATAATTTAGTGTTAAATTTGCATCAGTATGAGTTTACAAAATGATGCACCATTTTTGGATGCAGCTTATTGTTAAATAACAGTTCAAGTAATGATCTTGGCTAGCTAAATTCCCTCTGAAAAACCCCTCAAGTAAAGACTAAATGTTCCTTTTAAGAATATGGGATGTCCTTATATCACCTTGCACTATTGCTTCTGTCACTGCTGACCTTGATTCAAGTGTCTGTGTAGGACTCACACCTGATGGTTTCTGGTAAAGAGCTGTTAGTCACTTGCAATCAACAGATTCTTGCCAGAGGAGAACTACAGTTCCTGACAATAGTTTGTGTTATGTCAGTCTATTCCTTACAGCTGGAAACCCTAAATTAGCAACTGGATAGATAATTGACCTTCCTCAATAATACTGTTGGTGAGTAAGAGTTTTTAAGTAACAGCATCATGAAGACTCTAGCTTCCAAATTCTATTATTGTGATTACTTTATTAAGGTTTGTACTGCTATCCAGTGTTGCCAGATATTAGCAACAACAGACACTATTACCTTTTGTGCAATAGATTTAATATGGCAGATTTCAGTTATATAGGGAATCAAGGAAATAGACCAGCTACTTTGATACCAGAGGGAGATCGAACTATGAACTCAAACTTCAGTGGGATACCTATGAAAGCCCAGCCTCTGCACTAACACAAGATATTATAATTATCATTATTAAAATGGGAATTGAAAACAATAATAGCACTGGTGACCACTATAAAAATATCACTGAAACAGAGTATGTTTGTCAGTAGAAGTGAAAATAGGTTCCATTATTCTCCTCATCACTATCAAGGCATATGGGAGACTGTCCAGTCTGGAGTACTGGGGCCACATTTTCAACCACAGTAACCAGTGTAACAGAAACTTGGTGCTCTGTGTTACTGGGATGCACTGCAATATTTTTTTTGGAAGAACACAAGTATGTCACTGCAAAACAAGCCTCCTATCACTCCTATTTAAGTATTTTATCTGAATGCAGGCATACTTTGTATTTGCTGTCTCCATTCTCGTGCCTGGGAAAAGTTTATCATCTTGCTTTCATTTACACTGACAATTAAAAAATACCAGTTCAGAGGAACAAAAGCACCACTCTTCTCACAAGGTACTGTTCCTCAAAAAAAATCATTATCTGTTGTAGGAACAAATCCTGGCAATTTTTAAAATAAAACAGTGTAATTGTCAACAAATTTATTGTGATATAACTACTTTCCTCTCATAGTATTTTTTCTCAGGGCTATAATCCATCCTTTCAACGTAAGGAATAAACCACATTTTTGCAGGGAAATTTCTGTGCCAGACTCAGAAAAGGAAATTCACAGAATTCACAAGTCTCCCCAGATGTGAGTAATTGCTAAAAGTTACCTAAGAACAAGGAATAAAGAGAGATCTTAGTCACAGCAGTCTACATCTATCATATTTATGAACATAAATTTATGAGGAGTGTGTGAACCAAGAACAGCCTGAAAAAATCCTCACCCAATAAAGTAAAGGTTACTTTTAAAGACCAACAAGCTTGTGCTTTGGGGTATAAGTGTACACAGGAAATACCACCACAGATTAAAGAGTCCACACAGGTCAGTAACACATCAAATGGAGCAATCAACAATATGTGCTCCAAAGGAAGATCCAAGACCCTATCCCCATAAAACAGTTGTGAAGCATCCTGTCCCAAAAGAGAAAAAAAAATAATTCAAAAGTAAGCATAAGCAATTCTGCTTCTAAATGCTTACAAAAACTGAATCAGACAAGAACTAATGAAAATGGATAACTCTATATTCTGCTAATTACATCTGGTGAAAAAAGACTCTAAACTCATGTTAAACATAATCAGTTCTCAATATTATACTGCTTTCCTGGACAACAAACCTCCATTAAATACATCTGAAGCTTCTTTAAGAGGTTTCTTTTAACATCTATACCTTATCAGCTAGAGTGTTTGTAAGAAATGAGAAACTAAGAACCTCTCTAGGCTTCTGGACTTATTAATCTTTTGCATTTAATTGAAAGGAAAGTTGTCAGATGTTTCTGACAGATTTGAAGTTGAGAAGCAGTCATCTATTTACCTTTATAAAGATCACACAGTTGTAGACTAATAATTATTCTGCCATGTTCTGCACCTTCACCCCTAGAAAATCCCCCCTGAATGTAAAGAGAGCTTCTCTGATTTCAGTGAGCTTAGAATCAGGTACATTATTAAATACTCCATATGGGAAATTTATAGCCACATTGCTGAAACAGCATCAAGGAAGCTGCTTTAGAAATCAATTCTGTATCAACTGCTCAGGCACATTTAGGAAATGTTTGGGTGCATTGTTAGAACATTCATAGTCTGAGACTAACATACTTGCATCCTAACACATTGCATATTTTCTTTTTGACTGAGTTAACTTTTTTGGTCTCAACTACATAACTCAGTCTTTCCCTTTTTGACTCATTGCACAGAAATATCTGGTACAAGTATTTCTGTGCATGAAATAAAAACAGCTTTTCACATATGTTCACATCTCCACATTTGTTGACCATTTACTTACACAAAGATAAAAGAAATTCCATGTGACTACAGTGGAAGTCAATTAATATAAGTGTATACACATGTTCTTACGCTTTGGACAACTTTATGGAAATGATTCCGAAACAACAACACGCCCTTGTGTAGCAAGTCCAGAAGACTGGAAGAATTAACACTTTGCCAACTTCAGTTTGCAGGGGAGGGGTTTTAGATAATTGCTAATGTCAAGAGCTGCATGTTATGCTGCACACAAATGGCTTGCTTTGTGCTACCTTGCAGGAGAAATTTTAACTGCTTTTCTTTAAATACATAATCCTACATAGTTTAGTAGTGGTACCAGGCTCTGAGCAATAATTACAGCATCTGAGGTGAGTGCTATAGCACCTTCCCTGTATTAACTTGCATTTCGCATACTGGCAAGCAGAAGCAGAACCTTTGTCTGTGGAACATCTCCACCTGCACATATTGCTCAAGGCCAAGCCAATAGAAATACCACATACAACTA